TATAAAACATATAAAAGTAATCCTAAAACCAATGAAGTTTCCACAGATATCTAAAACATATTAAAAGCTTGCAACCACAATATGTTTAAAGATTGAAAAAAAAATACCTAAATGGATTTATAATTAAACATTAAGTTCTAAGCATAAAATAAAAGTAATACAATACACACGACCTATAGTGAAGCTACCAATTATAAATTAAGTTTTACAATATTTTTTTATAACTATTATATTTAAGGTGAAAAATATCTAGTTCACAATATTTTAAGTTAAAATTTTTACATGTACGAGATACAAAATTATTAGAAGCGTACTTCGTTTTTACTTTACGTAATGCAAAAAGAGGCTTTTTTCGTGCACCTAACCGATGACACGCAAGATTCACTTTGCTTAAAAGTAGGGGTGAGTCGATGATATTATGTAGCAATTTGTACAACAACATTTGATCTCTTATATCACGGCGTTTTTCGAGTGTATAACTGTGTAAGCTATCAATAAAGGAGTCTACGGAAGAATCATATCGCTTTAAGTGACGCAGAAACTTATTATTGATTGTTTCAATCATTTTAACATAAACTTTGTATTGAGGATTCCAACATGAAGAGCAATATTCAAGAATAGATCGCACCAGAGTATTAAATAGTATAATTAATGTTGTAGAGTTTTTAAAATCTTTTGAGATACGCATCACAAAACCTAGCATTTTATGAGCTCTTTGAGTTATTATATTAATATGTGATCTCAGTAACAACTTACTATCCAACTGAACACCAAGATCACGCAGTTCATTTACTCTCTTTAGTAAATTATCGTCGAGCTTATAGTTAAAGAGGATTGGATTCTTTTTCCTAGTAAATGAGATAATATTACATTTCTTGATGTTCAAGTAAATATGATTTGCTTGGCAATATGAGCTAAGCCTACACAGATCCTCTTGAAGTAGATTGCAGTCTTCTATAGCTTTAATAGATCTGAAAATTTTTATATCATCTGCAAAAAGGAGAATTTTGGAATTATGGAAGCAGGATATTACATCATTTATAAATATTATAAACAGTAGTGGACCAAGATGCGAACCCTGAGAAACACCTGAACAAAATGGGAGAAAAGATGAACAGTGTCCTTTTATTGCAACTGCCTGACTACGATTTCTAAGATAAGAAGATATCCATCGAAGTAAATCACCATGTACACCGATTTGATCTAATTTGTGTATCAGAATACTATGTGAAATTTTGTCAAATGCTTTTGTTAAATTATTTAAATAATTTAATTTTGCCCACAGATGACTGATGCCATGTCCGAATCTAAAAAGAAATGTAGACAGTACAGTGTACGATTATATGAAATTTGGCTTCATTCCATCATTGCCGGACAAACTATGTGCCTTTTATGCAACAAAGTTTTGGGAAATGACGCTATGAAACCATCTAAACTGCAAGATCATCTGAGGAGATGCCACCCTGATAAAACAGAGAAAGATTTGAAATACTTTCAAACACTCAAAGATAAACTTCAGAAGAGACCTACACTGGACAGAATGTTCGCTTCGACGTCACAAAGAAATGATGATGGTTTGCGGGCGTCTTACAATATCTTGTTACTTATAGCAAAATCCGGAAAACCGCATACTATCGGAGAGAAGTTAATTTTTCCAGCCTTTGAAGAGGTTTTAAAAACTGTTTTACACAAATCTGCATCTGATATCATTAAAAGAATTCCCTTAAGCAACAATACTGTTGAAAGACGTGTTGATGAAATGAGTTCTGATATTGAAAGCTTCTTATGTAATTATTTGCAAACGACCCATTTCTCTATACAACTGGACGAGTCAACTTTACCTGATAATGCAGCATTATTATTGGCATATGATCGTTTTATTATGAATCAAGAAATCTACGAAGAACTGCTCTTCGCAAGAACTTTGATAACCGACACTAAAGGTGAATCAATATTTCATGTTTTGAAGGATTACTTCATTGAAAAAGCAATTCCTTTATCAAATATAATATCAGTAGCTACAGATGGAGACCTGCCATGGATGGACGTTATCGTGGATTTATAAGCTATTTAAAACAAAATGTGTCAGGGGTGTTAGCAATACATTGCGTCATCGATCGACAACATTTATTTTCTAAAAATTTGAGTGTTAGATTGCATGAATCACTTCATTTAGTCATTGATGCAGTAAACCGAATCCGAAGCAAAATACGCGGTTATTTGCGCAGTTGTGTGAAGAAAATGATGAACACTTTCATCAATTACTCCTTCACACTGAATTACGCTGGCTGTCGAAAGGCTTATGTTTGCCAAGATTTTTTGCACTTTTTGAGACTATTTTAGAATTTCTGGATACTAAAGATAAAATTTTAAAAGAAAATTTAATGAAGAGGAAAACAGACATCGCCTATTTAACAGATTTGTTTACAAAATTTAATATGGTTCATTTTCAATTACAAGGCGACAGTTTAAATTCGATTAAAACAAAGTACATCTTATCAGCGTTTCTTGCCAGAGTTAAACTAATGAAGCAAAATATTGGACGGGGCGAATTTTCTTAGTTCCCTAGACTGGACATCATTAGCCGAGGAGATTTAAGATTAACCCTTACAAAATTGACGCCAAATGTTGATAATTTATTATTAAAGCATCAGGTTCGCCTTCTCACTAACAATATTGACTTATTGCTTATGTTATTTTATTTATAGTTTATTTAATGCTACGTATATTTTACATAACAGATACAAAATTTTATTTTGAGTAGTTTTAATTTAAATTCAATTAATAAATGTATCAATTAACATGTGTTTTTACTTTAAGTTTTTAACACTAAACTTCACTACAGTTAGAAATTTACAGGAAATCAATTTCAGGTAAGTAGGGGTCTAGTAGGGGTCTACCCAACACGGAAAAACATGCCAAGGGGTCTACGACACAAAAAAGTTTGGGGAACTCTGGTTTAAGTAATTATCAACCATATTATGTATTTAATACCTATCTCTTTTTTATTTCTTTACCAGTAGGTTTGGTAGCAGAGATCTATATTAATATCTAAATAACCATTCAGCCTAAACATAATTTATTAAAGATATTTATTTTTACTTATATTTAAATAATTTTTTTAAATATAAAATATTTTTTTAAATTATTATTAAAAAAAACGGCTGTTGCCAACCCCATGTTGGTTACGAAGAAACGGTCCCCAGTCCCCGGCGGCCTCGCTATTCCTGGCTACGGTGGCGACCATGGTGACGACGGGCCAGGGGGAACTTTAATACTACTCGTATTGAAGAAGCAATCGAGCGGAACTAGGGCTATAAAGCCAACTGTCAAAGCTGAGGACTGAGTGTGGCGGCATCGTTTCCGGGGCACCTGAGATTTTGAGTGAGATTGAGAAGTTTTATGGGCAGCTGTACACATCATCGTTAGAGCCACACGCAAGTGTGAGTAACGATCCAAGAGCAAGTCTTATCCAACACTATTCCGATGATATCCCGAACGTTAGTCTGAGCGAGACTAGTATGCTCTCCAGCATCTTAAAAACGGCAGGGCCCCAGGCGAGGATGGAATTACAGCGGAGCTTCTGAAAGCGGGTGAAACACCGGTACTTAAAGTCCTTCAGAAGCTCTTCAATTTTCCTTCCTCCATGGTGGCATTACTCCGGAGGCGTGGAGCAGAAGTGCGGTGGTCTTGTTTTTCAAGAAAGGCGACAACGCTCTTTTGAAGAACTACAGACCAATTTCCCTTCTGAGCCACTTCTACGTGCTGTTTTCGAGAGTCATTACGAATGACTCTCGAAAACAGCACACACGTCTCGCACGCAGACTCGACGACTTCCAGCCTCCCGAACAAGCCGGTTTCCGAAAAGGCTTCAGTACCATAGACCACATACATACCCTGCGGCAGATTGTAAAGAAGACCGAAGAGTACAATCTGTCACTTTGCTTGGCGTATGTGGACTATGAGAAAGCCTTCGATTCCGTCAAAATTTGGGCGGTGCTACAGTCCCTTCACCGGTGCCAAGTTAACTCACTTTCGAGCCCCATATCAAGAAAGTAACTCGCACCGCGTGATTTTACATGGGCAGGCTCAACAGCATGTTGGGCAGACACAGTAAAATGTCCCTTCGCAACAAGCGAACCCTATATAGGGTCTGTATACGACCCGTTATGACCTGCGCGGCCCCCATTTTTGCTCATGCTAATCCTAGATTATTAAATGGATTTCAAATAGTTCAAAACTTTTTTTGTCATCGGGCTACGAACGTACCCTATTACGTCCGCAACGCCGACCTCCACAGAGACTTAGAGCTCCTGACAATCCAGCAACTCCTAAAATTACTCTCTAAGAAATTCTTCGAAGCCTCAGAGTCCCACCCAAATCACCTGATTCGCGAGGCCCCTGCCTATGCAGCCCCACTTCCCACTCGTTATAGTGTACGCAGGCCGAGAAACTCAAGCTCGGACCCGCCCAACAAGCTTTCGGCCGACCTGAACTGCCTCCTGGCGGCTCAGGCCGAGCCTCCACATCTCGTCTCGTAATCTGCCTTAGTTAGGCTCACTTCTCAGCGGCTACTTGCCGCCAGCGCCCCCTTTTCTCCCAAGGGGGGTCGCGTTCGTTACGGCTGAATGATCTTAACAGGTTATAGCCATTCCCACAGCTGGTGTTTAGTGGGTAGCCCTTATATGCTTACGGACGCAAAAAGAGGACAAAATACGTAGACATGTAGCATTGATCTTACGTGAAAAATTTGGTTTTATATAAAGTAGTGAAAGTAAAAAATACTTTTAGTCAGTGTTATTTATTACCTATGTTGTATATATTTTATAACACTGCATTACGTTTTTTAATTTCAAATAATTGAAACAACAAAACGCAAAATTTAAATAAATTTAAAAAGTAACTTATTATTTATTAAGATTATACACTAAAATCTACGGGAAATCTTTTAAATACTGGCAACACAATTAACAAAATAGATTTACATAAAAATTCTACACTTAATTTTCGCAGACTAAACTGTCTGGGCTCTTCTCGCAAATGAAGGCGTATTTGTTTTCACACCAGAGGTCATCAAAGAGCCCCGACCGGTACACAGCACCACAGAACTCTCCAGTTGTTGCGTTGTTGGGCTCACCGAGTGAGAACTTGTCGTATCCAGCTTCTTTGAGCGTTTCACCTGTTGAAAAGATTAGGATTATCTTAAATTCGAAATTTTATTCACGCAGGGCTTCACACATTGAATGCAGAGCCAATGGTGTCTACCTGATGGTAAGTGGTGATGCAGCTGAAGATGATTCAGCGCACTAAACAATTTAACAAAAACATAAATCTATTAAATATGCGTATATACATATCATATTATGCGTATAACATTAACATTTTGTTTCTAAAGGTGTGAACGAACTAATATCTTGAATGAGAATTAGCAATCGTATGTCTTTGCGTGAGGAGTAAAATAGCCTGTACAGTAAATAATTTTCTAGAGAATCCAGTGAAATTATTTGGAACACTAATTTTATCATTAGACGATGAAGACCAAAGTCCGTCATGAGTTGAAAAAATTAAAACCGTTTCTAAAATACGAGGGCGACTCTGAAACTTTTTAGAACTGCCCACTTGTAAACGATATAGCAAAAAATAAGTTCAAATTTTGAAAATGGAACTTTCTGCCAATATTATTGGGTGCGTTTGGCAGAAAAAAGCGCTAGCAAGCGCTTGTAAGCAAAATGGCGATCGTAAGCGGTAAGCGCTGTCAAATAGTAAGTAGCTATTTTCCTCTAGGACACGATGCTAGTTTTAACCTGGGAACCTAACCTAAATTAAATATATGTTTGTGAAGTATTCATATTAAAAACTTACGAATTTTTAGTAACATGTATATGTCTATTCATGTCATTATATTACTTAAAACTAATATTGCTAAAAACAACTTATAAACTCTACTTCAAAACAAAAAAATTAAATAAGCAAAATATATAAGCAATCGTGTCCTGGCCGAAAACTATTTTAGCGCTAGTAAGTGCTTGCTAGCGCTTTTTTCTGCCAGACGCACCCATTGTGTATGTATTTTATTAATTTGTCATTTGTTTACGATTTGGTGATAAATTGAAAATTGTCTGTGTCACGTCAGCATGAATTTAATGCGAGAAAATTTTCGTACAATTATTTTTAATGACTTCCGATGTCATTTAAGTCAGCAAGAAAGTTATGATAGACTTCGATTGGCCTTTCATGATGAAGCTCCATCTCGTGCCACTGTTTACAACTGGTTTAATGAGTTTAAACTTGGTCGCACTGATCTCATCGATAATCAGCGTGAGGGATGGCTTTCGACGGCGACGACGACTAAAAGAGTAACTTATCAGCAGATTCGGACATGCTTAGGCATCGGTATGAGTCAAGTGTACAAAATCCTCCATGAACATATCAAGAAGCTTTGTGCCCGGTGGATACCTTATAATTTGACAGAGACCCGAAAACTTCGTCGTGTTGATTGGTGTCGTGTAATAATTCAAAGATTTAACGGAGGTGACTCAAATGCTGGGTTCGACTTACTTACGGGTGGCGAAAGCTGGATTTATTCTTATGATCCTGTGAAACTAAGAGAGGTCGAAGCGTGGGAAAAAAGATGGCGGTCTCGTTCTTCGGAAGGACAGGACATTACGCAACAATTAAATTGAGAGAAACGACCTCACAGTAGACTCCTCCTTTACCACGACAACGCCTTGTCGCACACCGCCAAGCAAATATTCGACTACTTGGCGATATCAGACGTGGAATTACGGGGTCACCTGCCCTGTAGCCCCGACCTCGCACCTTGCGATTTTTATTTATTTTCGAAAATAAAAGAAAACTTCGAGGAAAACGTTTTATGGACGCCGAGGAAGCAGTGGCTGCGTTTCAAAATGCCGTCGAAGAGACCCCTAAGGACAAGTGGGCAAAGTGCTTTTCTCAGCGGTTCCATCGGATGCAGCGATGTATTGATGTAAAAGGACACTATTTTGAAAATATATAATAAAACGAATAACTTGCTAGTTTGTTCAGTTTTTGATTTTCTAATTATTTATTGATTAATATAGAAAAAAGAAAAAGCAGAATTCTAGAATTGCGCCTCTGTGTTGATTGTGATCTATTTAAGAGGATTGTGAAGTGTCGATACGCGACGCAAGTAGGTATTTTCAAAAATGCTATCTGTTTCATATTGCTCGCTTTGCCTCCCACTCCGGACGTGATGAACTCAAATATAACCTATTATAAACAAATTCTCACGCACACTACAATAGCAGCAGTAAGCGAGAAGCGACGCTCGGGCGTATTCTGCGTATCGTGGACTATCTGGGGTTTGCGTACATTTACAAGCAAAGAGATTTAAATTCCAATACGTTGAGCAATTCTTTTATTATTCGAAATATATTTATATTTATATTAAAGGTGAAAATTTTGCACAACCGACTTCAATAAAACTCAATTACAACATATGTCATGGTTGAAATGATTTCTATGACATTTATATGGGGCCAAATGTGAGACATACATTATCGAAGAAAAAATGAATAGGTATATATATATATATATATATATATATATATATATATATATATATGTTGTAATTGAGTTTTATTGAAGTCGGTTGTACAAAATTTTCATTTTTATCACTTGTCTAGTAATAATATCAGTCCGTTAGAAAATGTTGTTCGTATTACTAATTCTAATTAGGTACTAATTTATTAGAATACGAAGGTTGCTAGTGTTTCGAAGATTACTATAGCTCAAATGAGAAATCGGAGGTCCCGAATCCGTGGTTCGAAACCGAATGATTTCGGCCCGACTTTTTTTTTCAAGTTCCCTTCTTTTGTGAGAAAATCTATTATTTCGAGCCCTTCTTTAGTATTTTTATATTAAAACTAATTGAACTCATCATTTTTATTATAAACAGTTCAGTTTTTTTTATTATGTTGGTAAGATCGAAAAATATTATTCATATTACATCAGTATGTAATTTGTATCTAAATATAATTTCCAAAAAACAAGATTTCCAAAAAAAAAAAAATACCGAGCAAAGCTTGGTAATCCAGGTACTACATACTTAAATTAATGTCTTTGACGACAAGCGACATAATTATTCATTTCGTTTGTGTTTCTTTGCAATTTTATTATACTTATGTGTGTGTAGACATTTAGTAGGTACTAACTACATATACCCTAAAGAAGTGAGTTGTTATTTTTATATGTAAGTATCTACCTATTTATATCAGCCAAACGCAAATGCCAGCTTTTACGATGACTATTATATTCATTCAAATAAAATTCTGGGCACAAGAAAGAACGGTGAGCTGAAGATAGGGAAATTCGGGATAGGGCAACGGAATCCAAGGGGCCAGCAGCTGGCCGACTTCATGGAGAAAGAGGGACTTTTTATGATGAACTCTTTCTTCCAGAAGCGGCCCCACAGGAAGTGGACCTGGTCGAGCCCCGACGGTTCAACAAAAAACGAGATTGACTTCATTATGGCGACCAGACGCCAACTGTTCAGTGATGTCTCAGTGATCGCAAGGGTGAAAACTGGCAGCGATCACCGAATGGTTCTCATCATTATCATCATCATCATCGCAGAGGTCTCGTCTAATGAAGTCAACGCTCTGTCCCCCTCGTGCTCTAATCCAGAATCCCGAAACCTTCAGTTCGAGTTACGTAACCGCTTTCAGTGCCTAGAAGATTGCAATGCAGTGGACGATATGAATGACAAGCTCGTGAAAACTGTCCATGCGGTCGGAGCTAAGTTCTGCAAAACCCGCCGCAGAAAAACACAAAAACTCTCCGATCACACTCTTAATCTCATGGTTGTTAGACGGGAGATGAGGCTGCAATCGTCAACAGATTTGACAGCATACAGGCAACTGAACAGACAGATCTCCAAATGCATGCGGCGAGACTTACGCAACTTTAATACTGCTCGTATTAAAGAAGCGATCGAGCGGAACCAGGGCTCCAAAGTCTTTGCCAGAGATCTGTCTGCCAGAAAGAGCCAACTGTCAAAGCTGAAGACTGAGTGTGGCAGCATCGTTTCCGGGACACCTGAGATTTTGAGTGAGATTGGGAGGTTCTATGGGCAGCTGTACACATTATCGTTGGAGCCACACGCAAATGTGAGTAACGATCCAAGAGCAAGTCTTATCCGATACTATTCCGATGACATTCCGGACGTCAGTCTGACCGAGATTAGAATGGCTCTCCAGCAACTTCAAAACGGCAGGGCCCCAGGCGAGGATGAAATTACAGCGTAGCTTCTGAAAGCGGGTGGAACACCGGTACTTGAAGTCCTTCAGAAGCTCTTCAATTCCGTCCTCCATGGTGGCACTACTCCGGAGGCGTGGAGCAGAAGTGCGGTGGTCTTGTTCTTTAAGAAAGGCGACAACGCTCTCTTGAAGAACTACGGACCGATCTTCCTTCTGAGCCGCGTCTACGTGCTGTTTTTGAGTCATTACGAATCGTCTCGCACGTAGACTCGACGACTTCCAGCCTCCCGAACAAACCGGTTTCCGAAAAGTGCGGCAGATTATACAGAAGACCCAAGAGTACAATCTGCCACTTTGCCTGGCGTATAAGGACTATGAGAAAGCCTTTGATTCCGTCGAAATTTGGCCGGTGCTACAGTCCCTTCAGCGGTGCCAAGTTGACTGTCGGTGTATCGAAGTGTTGAAGTGTTTGTACAGTAGGGCTACGATAACTATCCGAGTACAGAACCAGAGCTCGAAACCTATCCAACTGCAGAGAGGTGTAAGACAGGGTGACGTTATTTCCCCGAAACTCTTCACCGCTGCATTGGAAGACGTTTTCAAGCTACTGGACTGGAAAGGATACGGTATTAACATCAATGGCGAGTACATCACTCACCTTCGATTTGCCGACGATATAGTCCTTATGGTAGAATCGCTGGAGGACCTAAGCACCATGCTCAATGACCTCAATGGTGTCTCCCAACGGATAGGTCTTAAGATGAACATGGACAATACAAAGATCATATTTAATGTCCATGTCACACCTATGCCGGTAGTTGTTGGGAGCACTATGCTCGAAGTTGTTGACGAGTACGTTTACCTGGGACAAATAGTCCGACTAGGTAAGTCCAACTTCGACCGAGAGGTCAATCGACGGATTCAACTTGACTGGGCAGCGTTCGGGAAATTACGACACATCTTCTCGTCAGGTATACCTCGATCTCTGAAAACTAAAGTGTACAACCAGTGCGTGTTGCCAGTGATGACTTACGGATCAGAGACGTGGTATTTCACTGCTGGCCGTATGAGGACGCTCAAGGTCGCTCAGCGAGCTATGGAGAGGGCTATGCTCGGAGTTTCTTTGCGTGATAGACTCAGAAATGAGGATATCCGCAGTAAAACCAGAGTGACCGACATAGCCCAACGGATTAGTAAGCTGAAGTGTCAATGGACCAGCCATATAGCTCGAAGAACCGATAACCGATGGGGAAGAAAGGTTCTCGAGTGGCAGCCTCGTACCGGTAGGCGTAGTGTAGGGCGACCCCCCCACTAGATGGAGTGACGACCTGACCAATGGTAAGATATGCGGGAAGTCGATGGATGCAGGTGGCTCAGGACCGTGCTTTGTGGCATTACTTGGGGGAGGCCTATGTTCAGCAGTGGACTTGTGAAGGGCTGTAATAATGATGGTGATGAAATAAAATTAATATATACCTTTTAGAATGGAAGATAAAGATTATAGACGAGGAAAAAAATTCGACCGTGTTTATCAACAAAACGAAAAAAATTCAATTTTCTTCGTAAATGAACAGGTATACCACATAACATACTATTGCTCATAGGTATCATACGTAATATTATTTATTCGATGATCATACTTTGATTGGCAGGTGATAGACCGAAATTTATTTCGCCAAAATATAAAATTGTGGAATTCGAGGTTCAATGTTCGGCTGTATGTTTTGTCTTTTCTTTTATTTTTTATGTATGTTCACTGATTTCTCCATCGTGGACTGATTTTGAATATTTATTAATTTTTTTAAAAACACATTTGGCCCCATATAAATGTAATAGAAATCATTTCAACCATGACACATGTTGTAATTGAGTTTTATTGAAGTCGGTTGTACAAAATTTTCACTTTTACCACTTGTCTAGTAATAATAGTAGTCCGTTAGAAAATGTTGTTCGTATTACTAATTCTAATTACTAATTTACTAATCTAAACTTTAACAGTGAAGCGAATAAAAGGTCAACTAGCTTTTGCCCGCGTTAGTTAGCCATAAAATATATTTTTAACTATTATCATTCTATTTATTTTACAGTGATTCTGAGCTTGACAAGGAATTACCGGACAGTAATATGCAGGGACGATATACTCCTAATATTCGTCAAATGAATATTAGAGGTCTAACAGCGCTACATCGATGGAAGAAGGCATAATAGTGGGGGGTTTCCAAAAAAGCGTTGAAAAACTTAGCGTTAAATATCACATGCTGATTGGCGATGGCGACTCTGGATCGTAAATGGACTATTGATTACTTGCCATACGGTTCTAACCTCATGATTAAAAAAGTAGAATGCAAAAATCACCTTTTCAGACATTTTTGTTCCAAATTGAAGCAGTTGGGAAGAAAACTAACAACCAATAAGTTTACTTACCAGTACCTACAAGAAAAAGAGTTATGAGCAATGTTTTGCGTCGCTTGCCATGCTGCAGTTATATTAGTAGTATAGTTGTAGCACGAATGGGTCGGCTCGACCGGGGAAGGACCACAATTACTTGTAGGTCATACCAATACTTGTGCCGTGCGGGATTCGAACCTGCGGCCCTCAGCGCTATAACTCATTGCTGAGCTACTGCGCCACGTAGCCGTCAAATCTATACATATATGTATATCGATAAAATCTCCAACATCTAATAACAACGAACCACAACTACAGCAGTATGCGTATGCCCCTGCCTCCCGACCCGTATCGTGCGATAGAGAGAGTTGCAAGTCTTGGAAGCAATTGCCTACAATTCTTTATTGAAATATTGTTTCGGGCGATAACATTTTTACCCCCTAAACCTTTACGAAATGAAATAATTTTGGTATGATTAGATTCAGTACACCTTAGTCTAGGTCTGTACGTTTTTCTTTTTTAGTAAATCAGTTTAGTTTAATTAAGAAAAGTAAAAACGCTCGAGGAAGTTTTTAAGTCAAAAATTTTCATGATTTTTGGAAATGTTGTAGATATAATAAAAAAACTAGGTTATTTTTAAGAAGTATTACGTACGATATAAGTTATTAGCATCTAAATATGGTTATAATATTTAGATAATACGTACGTAATATTTCTTAAAAATAACCTAGTTTTTTTTACGAGTATTATATCTACAACATTTCCAAAAATTATGAAAATTAGACTATGTGTACTGGTGGGAAAACGTTATCACTTTTTGTATGAAAATTTACAGCTTCACAATCCTCTTAAAGTGATTGCGATAAAAAGAAACATGATCATGCTTTCGATATAAGTATCTAATGCAATTACTAAGAAGACGTTCTAGCTTGTTGAGAAGATATTTGTCAAAATCTGGGTAACAAACATCAGGACAATCGGTAAGCACTATAATTAAAGTTGACAGGTAGGAAATTCTTTAGTCGGTAGAAAGTTCGTAAGATGGCAAAGGCTTTGCGGCTGATTTCAGTGACATGTTTAACCCATTTCCATGTACTATCGATGTACAATCCTAGATTTTTTACAGAGTTTGGGAAGGGTATCAAGATATCATTGTAATTAACTGAAGGAAAAATTGATTAGCTTTTTTTTATACAGCACAGTTATGCCTGGCGGTTCACACTTTCTCCCAAACAACTATATTCAACCTTGTATAAAAAAGAGAGATAAAAAAACGCAAATACCATGAATAGTCAACCATTCGCCATGTTGGTTCCAATCGTGGAAACCAACGAAAGCGGCCGCCTTCCAGAAGTTTCCAAGCATTGAGGCGGGTGGGTGCTTTGCGAATATCTCCTTGATCAGTTGCGCCTCTGTCTCGCTGTTGATGATGGCTAAGTAGCCACCTTCGGCCGCACAGGTCATGTACGCACGGGACCAAGTGCGCGGCACGGTGTGGAATTTGTAGCAGCTGCCGGTACGCGAGTCGAACACGTATTCTGAAAGACAAAAGCGGTTGACTTTTGAAAAAATTGGTCGACGCGACCAGAGAGGATCACACTCTCACAAGACACCAGCACAAAAAAGCAGTACATGTGTGAGTGCAGAGAACGGGAGACTCATTTTACTGGAATCGAGAGCATCTGAATTTTGATTCTTAATCGAGGTTAAATGAAGATTATAATATATATAAGATATTTACAATCAGGTGGACTATGTGATCGTTTGTTACCCTTATTCTATCAAAAGTCTATCACAAAAATTCGTATCATGGGTATCGTAAGAAGTATCTCGTTAACGTCTGTCATCTGTCGTGTCTATGTCTGTCGTCTGTCGTTAAATACTCATTCCAGCAGCCAGCACCGTCAAATGTGTGAGACGTAGAACTGCAATCGCCAATCCTCCTGCATAGCGAGCTGATTAAGACAGATCCTCCTTACGATGGAATAAGCTTGTTCCCAGCGGTCGACTTGTAGTGGCGCTGTCGTCGCGCCACAAGCGAAACACATCGAAGTCTAAATCGCGCTATCAAAGTTCTGAAGTAAAACAGTATATATGAGTATAGAATAACCGCGAACTTTCTCACGGAGCGATAGCCACTCACTTCCTTTTTTTTCCTATCACGGCCATACACTTTTAGGAACTGAAAAAAAGAAAGGAGAAGAAAGACTTACCTTCTTTAAAGGTCGGCGTTGCACATTTAGGAGGATTAATACACTGTGTCACCCGGTCGAGTCGATCCATTCTTGCTACAACCACAACATATTTGCAGCGTGGCTCTACCACGTAGGGATTCTTATACGCGGCCCGCACACGGCATAAGGGGCTGGCCAAAATAAATTTCTTACCACTGTCCGTAGTGCCACAGTTAGACATAAACATCGTTTTAGTATTTTTCTTGTAACAGATGTAGGGAAGAGGCTCGTTGCAGTTCACGTCAGCCACGTTGCCATCCTGAAGCATAGCTATGCAGCTCTCTTCGTCCTTGAAATTGTCTGGTTCACCCACAGCCCAAGTGTGGGGAATCTTCGAAAGAGGAACTCCTGAAACGAAGATCGATGGATTACTTTTCCGGAAGTAAAACATTAATCATTTAGCATTAAGCAACTATGGCCATCCTATCGCTTGACAATCCGGACCCAGTTGGTGGAGCTGTTGTCGAGATTCAGAAGTCACCCGTGCGAAGCCGGGATCGACAAGTAACTAGACTTTATAAATATCATCATCAAAATTACAGCCCTTTACCAATACACTGCAGAACATAGGCTTCGCCAAGTTATGTAAATTTTATATATACTTATACAACCAACGACTACACAGCCCGAATAGACGCCTAATATATGTTCTCTTGCATCCAAACCTGTCTGTCAAAAGTCTGAGGTAAGCGGTACGGGAGAGGCGGGTTGAAATGCACGCTAATTGGTTAAAATCAAGGTTGCGACACCTGCTAATAAGCAAATAGTGATGGGAACTTTAACCAATAAATTTGGTACCAAGTCTACTTAATCAGTACCAAAAAATTCAAAATTCAAAATTCAAAAATGTTTATTCTGTAACAATAAATTTACAATCATAGCAGTATATTAGAGTTCTCCTTTTAAGTATTTTTAAATACTTGTGGCAGGAAAAACTACCTATAAATTAGTACAAAATTAAAAAAAAACAAAAGAAGTTTTATTTAAGTAGGTATCTTATTTAGTAAAATACCTATATTTTTTATTTTAAAGAATGTTTTTTATTAAAACAAGCTTTCTTTACAATATTGAAATAATAATAGAATACCTTTAAAAATAAAATAGCAACAGATATTTAAACTGTCAAGTTCACTTCCGTTTACTACTTGTCTTGACATGGCGTCTTAGCAGTAAAAAGAGTGCCGTCTATTAAAAATTATATCAATTTTTTATGAATTTTTTTAAGAAATTTTGAATAATTTGATTTGATTATTTAATCAATTATTTGAAATATGGATTAACGTACATTCACTAATAAATTCAGCTTCTATTATTATATATTCAGCACCTATGTCGCTTATAGTATAAGTCTGTAAAACATTTACATGCATAATATTTACTTGTACCAATATTATAGTTTAACTGGTACAGCACTAGTTACACGTGCCGGTAATTAAAGAAAAGTATAGCAACAATGACTTGCATTGAAAAGAAAGGGACATAGTCCAAAAATATCCGAAGTTGCCGAATAAATCAACGCGAGTTGCTTGTAACAAATATAGATTGAGCTCTGATTTAACTTTAAATAATGAATTTGGAAATTAAAATTAACTTATCTATGAAAAGTGATGCCATTTTTTTTGTAATTACACATTTGGCTACTATTTCCGCACTATTTTATTGTACAGGGAACCATGCTGCGCGTCTGTTGTATTTTATTTTGTCGAAAATTCACGAGTCACATGCAAGATGTTCATGGGTCCGTGAAGTAGTCACTACTAAAGTAGATTTATTTTTTTATTTATTTTTAATATGCACAAAATGCACAGCTTGTAACAATCTATTTACACACAAATCTTATAAAATAGGTCTTGAAGCCAAATACGGATTTACAATATATATAAATAATCGTGCGATCATCTTCTTAAGTAAGACGTATTTGTCTAACGTGTTGACAGAAAGTGTTTGCCTTGCATGAGGCGTCTATTCGGGCTGTGTAGTCGTTGTATAAAACATTAATCACATTCTATTACTGTTATAGCCTATCAAAAATCCAGTGCTGAACACAGACCTCCCCTATAGAGGGATTTACAATACTCACTAGGCAATGTTTGCCGTTGTTGCCACCCTTGGCAAGTGCAGTTATTTTATTATAAGGGAATTGCAGGTGCGTTGCCGGCCCTTTAGAAAGGAGTAAGCTCTTTTCTTGAAGGTATCTAGGTCGTATCGGTCCGCCGGTCGCCGGTAGTAAACTATTCCACAGAGAGGTCGTACGCGGAAGAAAACTCCTAGTGAAACTTACAGTGGTGGACTGCCAAGCATCCAGATGGTGTGGTATCGGGAGGTTTGTTGCGTAGTGCATTCATGAAATTTGGCGGCTGGGATTAATCCGAACAATTCCTCAGAACACTCCCCGTGATAGATGCGATAAAATACGCAAAGAGATGCAACATCTCTTCGCAGCGCCAGTGAATCGAGACGAGCGGAAAGCATTCGGTCGTTGACGACTCGAGCCGCTCTGCGCTGGATGCGGTCAAGTGGAAGGAGCTGGTACTGGGGAGCCCCAGCCCAGAGATGAGAACAGTATTCCATGTGCGGTCGAACCTGCGCCTTGTAAAAATGTAGGCGGTGTGCCGGCATGAAATACTGTCCCGCTCTGCTGAGCACGCCATGCTTTTTAGAAGCCAATTTGGCCTTCTCTTCCAAGTGACCACGAAACTGCATGTCACTCGATATATCGACGCCGAGGATTCCGATACTGGCTGAGGCAACAAGGGAAGTGCCTTGAAACTGAGGAGATACGACAAAGGGGTTCATTTTAGCGGTTAACGCGCAAACTTGTGTCTTCTGAGGGTTAAACTGACTAGATTTAGTCGCCCCCAATACGAAACTTTGTTCAGCAAAGACTTGACATCAGATACAAGTTTGTCCTGGTACTCGGAGACGTTTTCCTAGAAATATTGGCACGGCCGGTGTACAGAGTATCACCAGTCTCATTTATACAATAATAACAGAAGAAAAGCTTGCACGCAGCCTTGTAGAACACCAGCATTAATAGGATTGTAATCGGAGCTTGCGTCATCTACAACGACCTTGATGCTCCGATCTGCAAGAAAGCTGGTGATGCATTCTCCAATAAACTTAATCACACACACCAAATTTCATCACAATCTGTTTATCCTTTTAGCAGGAGTTTAGTTAAATACAAATGGAAAGAAGAATTGTAAATAAAAAGATATAATTTGTATATTATCTATAGTCAACCAAATTTACGTAGACAGAGAATCCAATTTATGAAATAAATTTTGACAGCTGTCAGACTTATTGCACCAAGCATGCCAACCAAAAAATTAGAACGTACAATAATCGATTCTTAAAAAAATTGATATCGATTATTAAGAGCTTGTAATCATTTACAGTTTGGTTTGAATAATACCAGAATAAATTAAAAACGGATAATTTAAAACGCAATATTTATCAGTTTCTTCGTATTTATTGCTACTGCTTATTTCTAGAGGCACAGTTATAAAAATTTAAGATTGTAACTAGATAAAAACAAATTTATTCAATCATTTTCAGTACAACTAGCTGAGCTGTCGTTGTTTAGATTAATTATTATTTAATTTTCGATAATGTAGTCAAAATTAATGTCTCTTTCAAAGTCATCCTTAATATTTATTTTTTTACCACTTTTGCCCAATCACCCTTTGTGACATGGTCACATGCTTCAACGAACATAGAAGAAACAGTCCAAAAAGTTAAAGCCGATTCACAAAATAAGAAGACAAACCCAACATCACAAAATTACGCACAGTAAGCTCCCGAATTGGCAGGAGATTGCAATCACGTAATGGTTTTTTCAGCGCGGCCTTGTACGAGTATATGAGTTTTTTTGCCTACACAAATTTACGTTGACAAAGTAAAAAAATGTTTTATTCATGATTCATGTACTTTAAGGAGTTTTAAAAGTAAAAATTTAATTAAACAAATAATAAATTAAAAAAATAATAATTCGATTGTTTGAATATTTTTACCGATTATTCGAATATTTTAGCCGATTATTCGCGTAACAATTACTTTTATTCATCCAAATACTACGGTAAGGTACATATAGCGACATAGGTATCATTGAAACAACGTCAAGTAAAAAAGTTGATACTGCTTATTTTTTTAATATTTTGCTTTGTTTGAAAGATTCGATTTTAAATTAGTGATAAAAAACTATACACGTTGTTACGAAATATTGATAAATTCATAATTCCTCGGATTTACGTAAAAGGTTATTTTAAATTGTGTGAGTACGCTTGTGTAAAGTTATTGCGGAATGATTAATGTTAAACGTCAAAAGATATTTCTTAGATTTGGTTGACTATAATAACGTTAAGTTTGTAAGAAATGCTGTGAGCACTAAGCATGCGGTGTTTACTTATTATTACATGTGCACTTAGTTGAAGTAAATATTTTTGTAACATTTTTTGGTGAACAAAAAAAATTGAGGAATTGTGTAAAACCCGCCATCATGTGCTGATTAATCACTCTGCAATCCTCACATAAAAGGCCAGTTTCCCAGCCAGCCCAGCCTAGCTTCTTATCTGTGAGGCTGCCGCCCAGCGGTGGGACTTAAATAGGCTGTAACTCTAATACACTTTATTGCTATTTTTAACTATTTTATTGTTCAATTGGGCTGTTGATGTTGAGAATTATAATTATAACTCTATCTTTAAGATGTAAAAATTTATTAGCTGAGATCCGCGAAATATCTACATAATATAAAACAATGTCGCTTCTCGCCGTCTGTACGCTTAGATCTTTTAAAGTTTTAAACTATACAACGAATTTTAATGCGGTTTTCATCAACAGACAGAATGATTCAAGAGCAAGGTTTATATGTACAATGCATGCAAATTATATATTATATAATTCTTCTATCCATGTGTATGTGATGTGACTGAACTCCTCTTCAACGGCTGGACCGATTTTGATGAAATATTGTGTATGTGATTAAGTTAAGTTTATTAGAATGGTTTAGATTCACAACTGGACCGGTAGGTAGCGTTATTGTCGAGATCCAGAAATCAACCGTGCGAAGCCAGGGTGCGTCACTAGTATACTATAATATAATCCGATTACGATTTTAATTTAGAACAAATTTTTTTAAAGGATTTGCACAAAGCAACGCCATCATACAACTCTATCGAGTAGGTACCCATATCATTGGTATTAACGTATACAAACAAAATATTAATGTAATTTTATTAATCAGTTCTGCCATAGGTTATCCAAGCTCATGGTACCGCTTTTATATACATTAAATATAAACATCATGCGTTACCGATAATTTTTAGCATATATTTTTGTACTAGATAGTGTCTAGTTAGTAGTAGATACCGACGGCTAAGTTGGACCAAAATATATGAAAAAATAAACCTGTTTAAAATCATATGCATTACTTTGATTAAAAGATGCATTACCTTCTATCGTATGGAAATCTCCTCTTGAAAAGGTAGCATGTATCCCGGTGAAGATTCCGCAACTCATGTCGCCAGTTGCTCCGTCGATCAGGAGTTTCATTGCATTTATGAGGCCTTGTGTCGATGGTGAAGCTAGCTTACCTCCTGGGAAGGATGGCGAAGTTTTATTTAGATTAGAGTGATGATAATTTGCCGAATGTACATTGAGTATTGTACAGTTACAGACAAAAGTTTTAAACAAAAACGGATATTTTTTTCAATATCTAATCTCTTTATATATAAACAAAAATCTATATTTAAATAAATTTTTGTTTGTTAGTACTTTTTGAAAGAAAGGAGAAATATGTGTGCGTGATTACGTGTCAAGAAGTTGAGCAGTTTAGGCAGGAATAGACGGATTCCTGCATACATACATGGTCAACTTCTCTAAAAAGGAAATTATAGTTTTATTATTTCTTAAAATACTGCTGTTAATGTTTGACTGCCTCGTTAGTCTAGTGGTCATAAACGCGTTTGAGAATGCGAATGAGAACCCAGGTTCGAATCCTGGATCAGGCCCAAATCAGTATTTCTATGAAGAAATTTTCAGTAGCAACTCAGAGTAACGAAGTTGGCGGTGTTTCACTCCATGCCTCGGAAAGCACGTAAAGCCGTTGGTCCCGCGTCTGATCTCCCTCCGGTCGTGTCGGTTCGCCTTCCCATCGGACTATGAGAGTGAGGGTACAGAGAGTGCATGTGTGCTTGGACACACGCTCGGGCACTATAACCCTGTCTAGCGCAGATGACTGGTGTCCGGAGACTGGAACGGTCCGCCGTGATTGAAATGCGGTCTGAAGGACATTACTATTATTATTATTTATGTTAACACACACACTCACACACTACATCTAAATTGGCTGAGGCGCATATTATAATGAAAATATATAATTGGCCAATTCTAATTCACAGCCTAACTTACCTTCATTTTATTCGTTTATAGGCCAATATTATAGTCTTAATTCCTGATAAAAATAATTTGACTTGTAAATTTAAACAATTTGTTTCGACCATAAGCTGATTTGATGGCTGTATAGTGCAGCAACTTAGCATTGAATTGCGACGCTGATGGCTGCCGGCTTGAACTCCACACGAAACAAGCATTCTATCATCATCATCATTACAGCCCTTTACAAATCCCCTGCTGAACATAAGCCTCCCACAAAGAATGTCACAACAACACGGTCCTGTGTGCCACCTGCATCCATCGACTTCCTGCATGTCTTACCAGGTCGTCACTCCATCTAGTGGGGAGCCACCCTACACTTAGTCTACCGGTACAAGACTGCCACTCAAGGACCATTCTTGTTCATCGGTTGTTGGTTCTTCGAGCAACACGTATGATCGGCCTATAGCAAATTTCGCTTACTAATCCGTTGGGATATGGTTACTCCGGTTCTACTGCGGATATCCTCAGTTTTAAGTATATTACGCAGGAGAACATCGAGTACAGCCCTGTCCATAACTATCAGAAAGGCCTTGCGCTCGTGCTAACAATTGTTTGGGATCAGGATATTTGTCCTTATGCAATTTACACGGTCGAAAATCCATCATCCACCCATCATCGTAGGGGTAGCGTTTTTTTAAAGTTAAAATAATTAAATGTTCAGGTTGTGTTTGATTTGTTTCGTACATTTTCATAAGTACATATTGTGCCGGAATATGGGTATAGGAATTGACTCTACCTTCGAGATGACATCTCAGTCGTGCTTCGAACCAGTTTGCGGGCACGCGATGCAACTTCAGATAACCCTCTGCTTCCGAAAAGAATCTGTAGTCACAGCGGAATTGTCTGCCATCTAAAAATCCAAACAAAAGTTATGTTTTGTAAAGCTGCCCACTCGTGGTTAAAAGTTTGGATCAATTCGAGACGCCTGGCGTATTCGCAGCGTTTGAGAGAAGCATGATTTTATCATTACACTACTTTTGTGTAGACGAGTTGCTCCAGGCGTTACCTTAAATTTTTGCAAGCTTTTATTTAACTAGCAATCTTTGTATGTCTTTCCGGTTTAAAACTTGTAATCAATTTTTGAAGCACTTCCTGACATCCGATTGAGCTGAAATTTAGCATCCTTATGTAACTTCGATCACGCTGCAATGATATGAAATAATTTGATGATGGCCTCGAATATTGGCTCAGTAACGTATATAAAAGCTTGTTTTTAAATAGATTATATAAATAACTAACTTTTTTTTATATATGAGTTGGGGATTTGTCACCCTTTTTTATTTTTTTTTATTTTACACACATTGACTAACACATTCATTAACATAGGTGACCAATTTACTATTCCCGAATTAATGAGAGAACCAAAAATCGGTTTTGTTGAGTAAAAATTATTGTTCCAAAGGCAATCGATTAAGAAGATACCGTTGTACTGCATCGATTGTGTTGGTAGAATCTCGTAATATTCTCTTATTTGGTTGCACATCTTTTTCACCTGCATCTAACGGACCCCTCCTCTACAATTTTTTTGCAACAGTTATCGCTGACTTTTCATTAAATCGACACGAAAAATTTGTGACGAATTTAAATGTACCATTAAGATTGTAGAATTATTAAACTAAAACATAATAAGTATATAACAAGTAACAATCTCACCTAATACAGCCACGATACTAAGTATAATGAAATAAGTCAGACTCGATGTCATTGTTGTGATGCTGGGATAAAACTGAACAGTTCGAATCTTCTACGTTAATGTTTAACTTATTGGTTTAAATATACTCCTACGTATGTATTAACAAAAATATATAAAGAAAGAGAGTGATATAGAGCGTCAAGCTCATACTGAATCGTATTAACCGTCTGAATTATATATGCAGTCAAGTGAAGAAGAGACGTAACTTTTATATCACAGAAATGTTTTTAAATTATTTAAAAACACTACGGGGTCAGACAGATTAGTTAGATAGTGTACGTTATAAATAAATATTTCATTCCCCTATATGTATTGATGGCTTCGTGTGTATGTATTGACCGATCCGAGTCGCAGTAACTTAGCAATGAGTGGCAATGATAAGAGCCGCGGATTCGAATCCCGCACGGTGCTAGTATTTTTATGGATTTTACAATTGTTCTAGGTTTTGTCCTTGTGAAATGTATGTATGTAAGCTGCCCCAATGGCACAGAAGAGGTAACAGAGGATGTACGGTAACGATTTATTAAAAAAAGAAAAGAAACTGTGCAATTGCAATATCGTGGCGACGTAAGAAACTCTATCATGTCCCGTCCCGTGGGATTCGTAAGTATTGCTGATTTATAACTATAGATATTTGTATTGATAGATATTGTATGTTTTAAAACTAAACATCGACAAAGTTGTCAAAGACCACCTACACTAACATTACTAAACTACATCCCCGACTAGACTTTAATAAAATTTTATTAACATTTAAACTTGGAATTTTTTTATGAAGCTGATTTTTCAAGTTGAAAATGTTAATGTAAAAAAAAAATAATTTCTGCATAATTAAATAGCTTATGAAGTCTTTAATAATAAAAGAAAATTATAAAACTTTAATTATTTTGTTTATTTTTGTGGACTGTGGTGGAAAATAATACGAACTTATCATAGGAAAGCAATGCCATCATGGGAAACGACGCGAATGAAAATTAAGTAAAATTAAACGCGATTAAATTCGTAAAAATAGTTCTTTTATGCTGTCTTATTAGTTTCATTAAAGTTTAATCTCGCATTCTTTCGAGGATATTCTGACGAGGATTTAAAATGGTATTTATAATATCTTTGAAGTACAACTTATCTAATAAAAAAATTAAAACGGGTTAAAATTGGTGAAGATACTAACGCATTACATTTTTAAATATACAGTGAAATTAAGAAATAAATTTTCAATATACACTTATATTGAATACAAATAATATTATATTTTACAAATCAGTATATTCTAATAAAAAATGAGCTAAAAAGAATGAAAGCATAGATAAAAAATATATAAATGTAACCTACTTTGACGTAAAAAGCGTAGTTAAAAACATTAGTTGCCGTACTTTTTTATCACTGGCTGTTTGCAAAGGCAGAATTATTAATGAGATTTTAAGTAGAACAAAATTTTAAAGTAAGTAGGCGCGCTTTTTGTGTATTATCCCTTTCAGACCATATAGACAGAATAATGCGCAAATACGTACATTTCAAGTTTGTTTTACTTATTTTAAGAAGTTGCACTTCTACAAACACTTCATCTTCTTAATCAACACCTAACTGTCCACTGCTGGATATTACCCTTTCCCACTGAAGTAATGATTCGTCACAATCTACACGCTTGACAGGCAGATCCACAATCGCAGAACCAAATGTCCCGCACATTTGATGCTCCTATCTGGTGATAACGCCATCCATCGGAGGTCATCATATTTTTAGGTCCTTCCCTTAGCCACCTCATACGACATCCGCGGAGCGAAAAGTGATGGTGAATAATCTTACGTCACCACCTAGTGTTGCCAGGTGTCCTGATTTGCGCGGGATGTCCCGATTTTCAAGTGTGGTGACACGTCCCGATTCATCCTTGATCGGGACGCCAAATGTCCCGATTTTCTCTAACCTTCTTTTTCTATACTTTAATCTGTAATTTTGACAGCCAAAATGATTACATCTGTTATCTACTACTACATTAAAATATTCTTTCTCACCAGTCGAAAGAAAAACACAAAAGTTTTAAACAAAATTATATTAAAATGAGTGATTTGAACATTTCAGAGACTGCAAAAAAAAACAAATAGTTTAAAAAATGTTTTGATTTGTCTAAAATGAAAAAAATAGACGAAGAATATGCAGTTTTTAGAGTGTTTGGATGAAAAGTTATTCGTTCATGAGATCAGACCCGAATAATAATTATAAAGTACGAAAAGGTTACAAAAAAGCTATATTTTGTAGCCATTGTAGCTGTCTCGATGTGAAAACCAAATTCCCGATTATTTTTACTTTCCGTCCCGAAATATTACTTGCTAGACCTGGCAACACTATCACCACTCGCCATTACACGGCAGTACCTTAACCAGTGAATATTTTTCCTCAAAGTTTTCTATTCAAAATATTGTCAATCGTAAAGTTTTAGATAACTTCTATTAATTTGTTTTTGCTCAGGCATTTATAACATAATATTCTATAAAATATAAAAATATTTTTACATGATAGAGCCACCAGACATACATTCATTTATTTTATTTTTTATTTTAAAAACTTTATTGCGTTTCCTTAGAAAAAAAGGAAGTTCATCCTATATACAAAATAAGTCAATAAAAACCTGTTAAAATATAAGTTATGGTTCTTTTACGTATGGCCTCTGCGGTTTGCATCATTTTATAAAAAAAATTGGATAATTACTATTTAGCGTAGTAATTATGTTGAGTGATAAGTCGTTCAGATATCGAAGTATATTATTGGAATAAACCCAGGGAAATACAATCGTTTACATGTCCGATAATATTTATGACATAGTGAAGGGAGATTACCAATTTAATAAATATAAAACGATTGAGAGATTTTTTATAGTTACTTGGTAGCTTGGTAACACACTTGGAGCTATAATTAGTCATTTATTTTTTTATTATTTACTATTTTTTATATATTAGTCATTGTAATTTAAGTTAATATTTTCATTTTTTATAAAAATAACACATGAAACGGATAAGTGCTGAAAATTAAGAAATAAATTATGTTTACACTTCTTTACGTCGTTTCCCCCCTCTTCTGTTTTATTTTTTTACACCGTGTAGCGACGGTGTAAAAATATCCATAAATTAAGTAAAATAATCCAATGCTTTGGAGTACGCACTTTACATAATATGTATGTTGGGCATTTAAAACGTTCCATCTTAATACTTCTCTTTGAAATGTTTGAGGTGGGCGATGGCTGCCTCCTGCGTCATACTTATGAACAGATATAATTAAGTAAAATAATAAAGAGTTTTCATTTCATTTTATTAATTTAATTTCTAGGTATATTCACTATAAAAGAATGAAAGACGCGCTAGCCTAGTTATAATAAACATCGTTAAAAAAAACGTAAATAAAAATTAAAAATGTATGATTTATACATTAAAATTAGTGTTGCCCAAAATCGGTCTTGATCTTGCAGTTTTGATCTTGGTCTTGCAAAAATTCAAAAAGACTGACTGTGCAAGATTTGAGCAAGAACTAGACTAAGCCCCCAACAGTCCCCAAGCGTTTGTCCGATCTCCTATACTCCCAGAAACGACGACAAACTGCAGTTAGGACTGAATGTCGTTTCAGGGAGTATAGGAGATCGGACAAACGCTTGGGAACTGTATGAGATACAAAAAATATATTAAAAAAATTGAAAATTGGACTTATGCGCATTACGAACAATTCCTTAAACATAGATAGTGAATGAAAATATCCATTAAAAGAAAAAAGAGTGCATCCCTAGTTTTGATCCCTAGTTTTTCGTGTGCGTGGTCTCGTTGTCGGCATCATAAAATGTCGGATACTGACCTGTCAAAGAAATTTTGAAATTATTCGAAAATACAAGGTCAAGATACACGCACCAGCGGCTTATATTGATATCGCATACAATCGTCGGCGCCGCGCCGCACGCACAACATTTGACACTGTTTGATTGTTGCCACAGAGTACATGTTTTAAAGAAATAAAATAAGTTTCCGGATGCGCAGAATGAACACGCATACATTATGCTGATCTCACAAGGAATATTGTAATTAGATAATCATAAAGATAGGTAGACATCATAATAATTTATTCTAGTAAATAATTATCGTACCTAGGCTGCACTAAAAGTATCGGGAATGGAATATTTCCACTGTTCTGTCATATTAAAATCTTTTTAATTGAAAACTCCTTAGTTTTAAAAATCGAATACCATTTATTTATTTAAAAAAAGATTCTCGGTCTTGTCACAAGGTTTTGTCAAACTTGTTTAGTCGTTGAGAAAATGGAATTGACTCGAGAAAATTCAAGAGCGATGATTTATTACGACTTTCGAAGTGGTTTAACACAAAAACAGTGTGTTGACCGAATGATTTCTGCATTTGGTGATGAAGCCCCATCCAAAACCACAATTTATCGTGTCAAGCTCAGTGATGATCCCAGTCAAGGTCGTCCAAAAACTGTAGTCACCCAAGAAAACGTTGATGCTGTGCGTAAGCTGATTGAGGAAGATCGAAATGTGACATACCGCGAAATTCAGGCAACTTTAGACATTGGCATGAGTCAAATACAAATAATCTTGCATGAACAATTAGGTGTAAAAAAAGTTGTTTTCCCGATGGATACCGCATTCGCTCTGTGAAGAGCAAAAAGCGGCTCGCGTTACTTGGTGCGTCAGAACTCTCGAAAGATTCCACGCAGGATCCTCAAATGCTGTATACAACATCGTTTCAGGTGACGAATCCTTGGATATATGCGTACGAACCCGAAACAAAAAACCAGTCACGAGTTTGGGTGTTCGAAAATGAGTTAAAGCCAACAAAATTTGTTCGTTCACGGAGTGTTGCAAAAAAAATGGTGGCCACGTTTGTCTCCAAAACAGGCCATCTTACGACTATTCCTCTTGAAGGACAAAGAACGGTTAATGCAGAATGGTATGCTAACATTTGTTTGTCACAGGTCGTTTCTGAACTCCGTAAAGAGAACTGCAACCGCCGCATCATCCT